CGGCGTGCGGCCGTCCCCGCACCGCTGCCGGGGCAGGGGGCCTGGGCTGTTGCTTTAAGGCTTCCAGTCGTGTAAGGGCTGTACCGGAGCACAGTCGGGCCCTGAGACGCTGCTGCTGGGAGCCTCGCCCAGCGCCGTGGGGAGGGCCAGGAGAGGCAGCGGGCGTTGGGCCAGGCCTGGGCGCGGCTGCTGGCACGACCTGTGGCACTAACGCCCTGACCCGGGCACCCGTGTTTTGGGTAAGCGGATTTCCAGCCTGCGAAGGTCAGTTCCCACGCTGGAAGCCCCACCGGGTGGGTAAGGTGGTTTAATGGAGGCTGGGAGTTGTTTGGGAAGCACCGCTGCCAGTGATGGCTGCCTTCTGCTGCCTGGGGTTGTGGCGTGGTCGGTGCAGCCAGCTCCTGGCGTGGTTAGGGGCAAGTAGCTCCACCTGCAGAAAAAAAGCTTTGCTCCTCTGTGCAAGTGGAAAAACTTGAGTTATTCTTGCTGAGGTAGCAATACCTGAAGCAGCGCTCTGGCTCCGGGTTGTCATTGTATAGCACTAATGAGGAACGCTGACAGAGCTTAGTTGCCTGGTACTTCTTGGAAAATTGATGGTCTCTGAAGCTGTGGCGAGTGATGCACATCATCTGTGGGGAGCCATGTCACAGTGTTCTTGGCTCCGAAGCTGGTGGGAGTGTGGCAGCAAACTAGAAGTCCTGAGCACGGGCTGGCGTCTGTGGACCCCACCAGTGGGAAACCTTGACTGAAGCTGGGCCTTCTGTTTACATCCTCCAGACTCTTAATCATCTTTTTTTTTTAATTTCATTTCTTAGTGTTGGAGGTGATTCATGACTAGTTTTGTGTGTTCTCATCCAGTTTATCCATTTGCAAAAGTTAGTCCCTGGGATAATGGGAGGATGACAATAGTGGATCAGACCAAAGGACCTTTGTCCTTTCTCTGGTGATGGCTAGAAGCAGTAAGAGCACAAGCAGAGAGAAAGTTTATAGCAGTGTGTCCCCTGGATTGTGCTTCCAGTCTTGGGATTTTTGAATCTCTATTTAGTATTGCCATTGACAAGAAAGATCTGTTGCTCTTTAAACGCAGGTAAACTTCCAGTGCTGCAATGTCCTGCTGCAGACCATTTCACAGCTTTGTTACCTGTTGTGCGAAGTAGTATCACTTTCTGGTTTTGATGCGTTGTCTGCCTGTTTTGCCTCACCACCCCAGAGCTTGTGTTGGAAAAGTGGATGGACGTTCATTTGATAATTGTCCTCTCCGGGCAAATACTTAGCCAGTGGTCTCTGGTTTTAGTTTGCAAGCCTGTAGTCTGTTTATTTGTTTCTCATATGGAAGCTGTTTCATACCAGTGACCAGGTAAGGTGAAAGTGAGAAACTGAGTGTGTAATTCTCTTGGGTACTTTCAGCATGATGTTTTGGCTAGGATTATGTTGCCAAACATATCCCAGTGCTTACAATATGTATGGACGCGTTGCAGCTGCTGTTCTTGAGTACTGGCAGCCTGGGAGGACTGGTCCCCTCTGTGGTCTGGAAGACCCATCTGTGTTAGCATTTGGCTTTCCTTCTGAGTGTGGATTAACAAACCAAATAAATAAAGGAGGTGACCTCTTGCAACCTCAATCCATGATGGCAAGTAATCAGATATCTGATGTTTTTATCTTTGCCATCCTACAGTCGTTATAGTGCAACGTGAAAGAAGCAGCCAGGTTAAGTTTTGGACATCTCCGAAATGTAAAATCCTCCTCACTAGGCTAATTAAAGAATACATTGGGCAAACGTATTTAAGGAATGATACAGTTCTACTTGTTTCAGTTTGGGATTTAAAGTGCTTTTTCCCACTCATGAGTCCAGCTGGTGAGGAAGTTTCACAGTTAAAGGCCTTCATGAAGCAACCAGAGAGTTTCCCGCATAAGCAACTTTCTTGCATATCTGTTTGTAATTTAGTAGAAATGAAAGCGGGTGAACGTAGGAGTTACCAGATGTGGCAATATTCAATTTCTGCAGTTGAGTCTCCAAGGGAAACTTCTTATGTAAAAAATAAACCTCTTTTAACAAAGAGAGGCGGAAATGATCTCTTGTAGAGCTCTGTAAGGAACATGTTTCTCGTTAAAGAGATTATTTTCTCGTATGTCCCATGTCACTTATCAAAGAGGCTTTTGGCAGCTTTGGCAATTTTGAGAAGTGCTTAAGTCAATTTAGCAGCCAGAAACCAGGAGCTAGAGCACAGGAGTCAGCTGACTGGAGATCGTGGTTTTGCATCAGTGATTTGAGGGAGAAAATAAAGCTTTGAAGGAGGAAAAACATTGTTCTGAATTCTGATAGGGATACTTTCTGTTTACTCTAACTGCTTTTTTAGTTGCTCTGCATTTTTTTTTTTTATTAACTTGGTCCAGAGAATAAGTTGCTGTAAGAGTTGCGCCAGCGCCTGCTTTGAGGATGGGGTGCGTTGGGTGGCTCGCTAAGACCCGCTGAGCTTGGTACCTGCGTCTGAGGAGGACGAGAGCCCGGCTTCGTCGTAGGCTTGGGGGAGCAGCCGCGGGTGCTGCTTCATGGGGCCCTGTGTTCCTGGTGTTGCTGCATCAGGGGGAAATTTGCTGCTGATACAGTACGTTGGTACAGTGGTTTTGGATGTTGTTTTCTGTTGTTTGAGTTTGTTTTGTTTTGAGGACAGTCTGTTGGTTCAGCTCCTTCAGATGTTCCTGCAGTCTAACGTCCTCTCTGGCTGCTCATGCCTTGAGCTGGCTCCTGGGGCAGCGGCCCAGAAAGGGATGAATATGATGAATATTTTTTTCAGTCACGTATTTTTGACTGACTTGCTTGCAGTCCTAGTAGGTCTTCAAAGACCATGGGCAGCAAGCTGTGTTGCTCATAGTATGATTTAGAGGATCAAAAGATTTTTATTGTTCCGTCAATTCTGCTCTGCCTATTCTAGAAATATCGATGTGATGAGACGTGATTGCTTAGATGTGCTTGCCTAAAATATGTTTCAAAATTTTCCCTTTGTATTTTTAACACTTGATTGCTTTTTTTGTTGTTTCCTTTTTTTCTTCTAGAATTCTTCTGAGAGCCACAATTGTGCCAAAAGCATCTTGACCTCAGACAGGCTGCAGATAGTTGTGACCCTTTCGCAGTTCTTTAACGAAACCTGGGAGGCAGCCAACTGTGCAAGTACGTGACTTGTTCTGTAGCTTTCATGCTACTGTTATTACTTAGCTTAACGTTGCCCCTAAAATTGGCACGGATCAGAATTATATGTATTGGTTTAAATACAGACAGGATATAACACAAAAATCCTAAACTAGAGCCACTCCAATGAGGGGTACGGAAGCTTATTATTTTGTAAGAGATACTGCCAAAATCTGAGGGCACTAGACTGTCAGAAAAATTAGTTGTTATATAAATATTTCTTTTAGGCTATTCTTTCAAAAGGTAGTCATTTTCATTTTCTTTGTGATCCGCAGACTCTGCTGGAGACTTTCCTAAGCTTCATTGCAGTTTCTTCTGTTTTTCCCAGTCCTCCCATTTTTAAAAAAAACTTCCATAGGAAACTTTTCCTTTTTTGTTAATAAAGTCAGTAACTCTGGAATGCTTACACGCTGAACAGTATCTGCCTCCACAGCCATGCTCTTTATTTCATTTTATGGGTGGAGGGTGTCCAAATCTACCCCCGTATCTCACTGTCGCCGTGCTGAAGGTGCTGTGCCGCAGTTAGAGCTGAACTATGGCTTTTTGCCATTCCCCTGGTGTGGGAGGTGGGACCCTACACTAATAGGCGCACTAGAAAATAGCGGGAATAGCATTAGAGTTGAGCGTTAAAGACGCTGAGTTTGCTGCAGAGTGCCTCGAGAGCCCAGAAGAGTTTGTTTTCATCTGTGAGTCTGGGCTGGGTGAAGACTGGAAAGGCAGTACAGGAGCAGCTGTGCTGTCTGTGCTGTGCTGCTGTGCTTACCCTGTCATCTGCGTGCTGCCTGCCCAGTGTCCAGCAGGATGCTTGCCCTTGATACTGATGGCGCTTCCTTCTTTCAGGAGAATTTTCTAGGGTGTTGGCTTGCTCTCACGGTGCTGTTGCTGAACACCTAAATTCCCAAACCACTGTTGTTTTCAAGGGTTTGTCTGGTTAGAGCGCCTGAAGTGGGGTGGGATGGATGGAAGCAGTAACGTGGTAGGGTTGAGCCTATGACTGGGAGGAAAGCCCCAGAGCTCCCCTCAAAGCTGGTGAAATGGTCAGCTCTTTTCTTAAACAATAATAACCTACACTCTGATTTGTACTATTGTGTTCATGGTCTGGCTGTTTCCTGGATGCTCTCTGTTTCATCTTCACTGCTGGTGCTTCTGCTTTCACGTAATGGCTGTTACCGTTGCTGGGCAAAGCCAGATTTGCAGGCTAGAAAATAAAAGTAATGTCTTGTTTTATCTTAAAGTCCAAAGATAATTCAGACCCCCTCTTCAGAAAGCTCTTGATGATAGTCTTCATCTTTCACTTAATCAAGGCCAATTAATTCTGAAATATGTTCTCGATGAAGAGTTAGGTCAGCAGGTCTGAGACATCAATGGCAGGCAGATAAGGAAACCGCAGTGTTGACTAGACCTGTCTTTTATTGTCGAGAGCTCTTTTTGCAGGAGTGGAGTGTCTGGGGCTTGTTGGCTATGGAAATGTTAGAAATTAGAATATCCTGATGTTTTTCTTTCTCTTTGACAGATTGTTTAAAGAACAACAGTGAGGGGTTATCAAATTCTACTGTAGAATTCCTGGATTTATTCAATAAATCTCTGACATGTTTTGAACATAACCTTCAGGTATTTATACTGTGTATTTAAGAGAAGTACTAAATCGTCTAATTGCTAGCAAAATCTTATTTATGCTGAATAAACTGCAGATACAGATTAGGCAAATAAACTGCTGGTGAGTTTGTGGATTTTAGGCAAATAAAGCAATGATCTGTAAAATGCAGATGTTTACAGATTGAGAGCCTAAAATTAATTCTAATTGATATTCACCTTGACTTCATTTTGTATGTAATTGCAGTGCTGCTTCACATCAGAATTTCTGAATTCACAGTAGTTGATAATTATATAGTAAGAAATGGCATGTCTGCATGCTGTAAGTCTCTTTTTTCTGTCTCTTTGTGGAATTGTTGTCTTCCGACTTAATTCAGTCTTTAAATAACCTTTGATAATATAGACTAGTTCAGAAAGACCACCTACCTTAAATCGTTGTAACAGTTCTTTTGACTATTAAAATTATGGGTAGTTAAAGTTTGTCCATATTGCAAAGGCGATATAACTTAGTGAAATAAATGTGATAATTGTCCTCAAAGAAAATGCCCTAAATAGCCTAAGAAACTGTGCGTATTCCATTTCAATCAGAAACCGGCCAAGTTCCGGGATCATTCAATAGTAAAAACGGGAAATGATGGGTATGGGACAATCTCTGAGGAAGCTGTCTGGTTTTTTTATTAATGATTTCTAGGAAATGTGCCTTAGAGGCTTTGGCCAGGAGCAGCGTGGACTGGCCTATTGATCACTTCAAGTGTCTGAACTAGAACTTAACCCAGTGGTTGGTGGGTAGCTGGTACAACCGTTACTGAGTTGGAATATCTTTAGAGATTGTAGTTTTGTTTTCAGGTGTGTTGTATCACATTCAGGGGTGGTGAAGGTCGCAAATGAAAAGGATTATTTACTATGGCACAGTCTGTCCCTGTCGATATGGCTCAGCAGTAGCAACCTAACAGTTGTTAGGTATGGGAAAACAGAAACAAAAACTGTTAAGGAACCCGATATCTCTGGCTCCAGAATTACATTTAATTACTAGTAATTCCCTGCCCTGAAAACTGGTGTATTAAAGTGTTTAAATAAAAAAGCTGCTAGTTCAAAGAACAGTTTGAGATGCAGAACCTGCAGGAGATGGATCCTGTCCCTAGTGAATTACAGTTGGTCCTTTTTCCTCCTGCATTCTCATGCAAGTTGTCAGTCTGGGCCCCTAATCAATCTAGGATGCTAAAAATCTGGATTTTGGTTCAAACTTGACTCTAGTTTTTAAGGTTTTTTTTTTATAATACCTTAAAACAGCATTCATACAGAGTTTTATAACCCTAGGGACAAGCTGTCTATCTGTCACCAAATAACTACACAGAAGTATGTAAAAACTGCAACGAAACCTACAAAATGTTGAATGACCTGTATAACAACTTGCAAAGGATGAACAGGCAAGGTGGTGAGTCTGGGCACTCCGCACACTTGTGTATCGACGTGGAAGACGCAGTAAGTATTTATTAATACTCAACAGGGAGACCTTGTCACGGAGGTCTTTATTAATCGGAGCCATTTGTGCTTGTCTTGCTAGGGATTGCCTTTTCCCTTTCGGTGTGGGACAGTACTGGCAGCAGTGCCTTTGTCAGGCTGATGTCCCGTGAGGAAGAAGTTAGCCCGGTGGGGCTGTCTTGCTAGGTCCTGTCCTCAGTCAATGCAGCAGGAGCGTGACTGAAGCTCCTGATCACCCGAGTGCATTCCAGTTTAAGTAGCTGCACTTTAATTTCTTGTTACTGTGAAGGGGATGGATTAAAAAAAAAAAAAATCATCTTAATCTTCTGGCTTTTAATGCGAAGCTTTCCTGCTATTGTTCTAGCTAGTGTAATACTTGATTCCTTATTGCAGCAGCTGTTTCTAGGGGTCCTCAGCATTGGCGACATATGTTTGGAAAAAGCTTTGTTATATTGTGGGGCTTTATGCGGTTGGGCAAAAGGAGTGCTGTCGAAAGTATGGGATTAGCTTTGTCCCTGAAGGCTGTCAGAATTCTCTGGGAAACAGGCATGTGGCAATGCTACAGCGTATCTGAGTATAGTCAGGTTTTGAAGCTTGTAAAAGTTCTGATGTGAAATTATGGCTCCATTTAAATGGTCTGTTTCTACATTTCCAGGCATTGCTTGCTTCTGGGGCTGGGGAGATCTGTTAAAGTATTATTTTCTGAGGTCGTATTTGAACACTTGAATGCCTTGAGGCCTGAGCGTTTGCCATGCTGCACAGCAAAAATGCATGTGCTCGCTTTCACGGCTTGGTTATGTTTTTCTTCTAGATGAACATCACTCGGAAGCTTTGGAGTAGGACTTTCAACTGTTCTGTTCCCTGCAGTGATACAGTCCCAGTGATTGCAGTTTCATCCTTTATTCTCTTCCTACCTATTGTTTTTTATCTTAGTAGCTTCCTTCACTCGAAGCAGAAGAAACGGATACTCATTTTGCGTAAGTAGTGGTGCTGGCTTTTCACTGGTAGAGTTGGGTGGTGCCAGGGGCTCGCTTGGCTCTGGCGGGAGAGGGGGGCCCAGCCAGATCTGCCTGCAGCTGTGCTGACGGCGCTAATAGCGACTATTAGTCTGCTGCTGTCCCCTGAAGAAGGGTAGTAAAGAGCTTCAGCCACATCTTTTCATTAAAGTTTCTGGACGTGAACAGAAAGCTGTTTGCAAGTCTGTGTCAGATAAATAGAGGGAGTGGAGAGACTAGTTTTGTGGAATTCTTTGTGTTTAATTTTCATATAATTTTTCCCTTTCCAGCCAAGCGCATCCAGTCAAATGCCAGTCTTGTGAACATCCAAGAAAAATACAGCTGAGCTGCAAAACAAAACCTGAGAACTGCTGCTGGTATACAGTGGGTACAATTGTGTTGGAATGGGGCCGGCACAAAAGAGGAGTTAATTATGGTTTAGTGTAATGATACAGAGCAACACAAGTTAAACAAAATGCTGTCTGACTTCTAAGCGAGGATATTAACAAACATGACAAGGCAGGGCTGTGTGACACTGTATGGACTCTGGTTTTGAAAAATCTGTGGTTTTTTCAGTCTTGGGCTGAAGCTGGTGTTTTTCTGTTTCTAAGCTTTTGTATTTCTCATCAGTAGAATAGTTACACTTTCCTTGCATGTTTTTTTTTTTCCTCTTTAATTTATCATATTTGTTTCACAGAAACCTGAGATTCTGAATCTTTTTGAGGTGATTTTCATAGACCAAACTTGAAATGATATTTGATGTTCCTGCTTGAAACATTACGTTTAATTCCACATAACATTCAGTTTTGCCAGACTTGGGATGGACAGGAAACCTTTAAAAAGGAAAGTTCCCACCTTTCTGATACCTCTCTGTAAAGTCATGCTGCTGGTCTCGGGGGGGGGAAGAACCCAAAAGCCATGAAATATGCAGAGGAAGTGGTAATATATAATGTCCAAAGCCAGCAACAAAAGCAACAGAACTGCCAGTGCTAGACATGAATAATAATCATTGATGACTACAGTATTCAGCTATCTGTGAAGCAGGCGGCATATTTAGTCATTTGTACACTTTAACCGCTAAAATCATTGCTTTTCAAATGTTAAATTTTCTGAGGCTTATTTTAGATGTCTGCTTGGGTAACTGAATGCTTCACTGTTTGCCTGTTTATTGTGTTATTTCCTTTCCTTTTTAATTATCAAGGATTTGGGGGGGGGTTTTGGGTGCTTTTTTTTTTTTGTAAAGGAGAAGTGAGGTAAAGTCAAGTCACTGGAGATGCTGAATTTCCTGGTCTAGAGCTTGCTATGGCTTAATACAGAGGTGTTTACAGGAACTTTGCAGGGAAAAAGTTACCTTTTCTAGATAATACGTATTTTAGTGGTAAATGAACCAGGGGGTTCTCTAACTTAAACACTGTCCTGAAGGACAATGAAGATACTCTGCTGGGAATTGATGACTTTCAAGAAATAGCTTCAAAAATTAGACCTGTGAAATAGATGAATGTAAACAAATCCAAGCTTGCAGGATTCCAAAGCTGATGGAGAAATTTGTGCAATAACTGTGGGGATGGATAGTGCTACTGAGAGGCCGTGGGCACAACTCGACAGCTGCAGCAATACAGACGGCTCGGTTTGGTTATGACGGCCCTGATTTGGGAGAGTGGTGGTGTTGAAAGGATTTATAGCTGTATTTGAGGTTAACGAATGCCAGAGTCTTTGCTCTCATTTTTAAATGTGTTTCCTAACCTTGAGATAAAAATGAATGGCCATTACAGCTAAAAAATTAAATTTCTCTAGGAATCTGTGTCTGACATCTGTCAAAAAACCCTGTGAAATAGGCTTGTGTATTTGACTTGCTTTGGAGCCTAGAATGATAAATTTTTCCTTTGCACTAAGGCTCAAATAAATATATAATGATGTAACAAAACAGTCCTAAAGCTCTTCAAGTCATTGGTTTTCTTGGTTTTCTTGTTATTTTTTGTCGTTTTTTTGAGTTAGGACATACTGTCAGTTTTAAAGTCAAGTTGACGGTATGTTTAACATTAAGTAAAATACTGTGTTAGCGATTGGTCCCACCCACGATTGCCTTTTTGTATTTTATCAGTAAGAATTATTTATCTCCCTCTGTTAAACATGTGAATTACTAGGTCAACAGTCAGTTTGTTCTAGGGAGTTTACAACAATAATGTAAAACTGTGTTTCTCTTACTACATAGTAAACTTCTTGCAGCCAGAAGAGGCATGCTGCCTTTAAAAAAAAAAAATATTTTTTTATGTCTCTTATTCTTAAACTTCAACTTTCTGGGACTTATTCAGCTGCCTGCTCTAATAGCATTACATTGATTTGGGACATCATATGATTGAGAGCTGTTCAAAGCAATCTTTCATTCGTGCAGATAAAGCCAGTTTGTATGTGCAGCATTTCAGAATGACAGCTTTTATATTGTAAGCAGTGGCTTTTTGAGCACATTCATGTTAAGTAGGTCTGAAAGTCATTACTTTTGGATATGGTGGTTAAGCACTTTAAAAAAAAAAATCAGCTTTTCTTATTTTCCTGGCTGCTAAGCCAAACGGAAATACTCATGTGACTTTTGTTGTTTTTTAATTTAAAGCAGCAGTAAAGTTTACACTTGAGACTTTTAATATTACATGTACTATTTTCTCCTTTTTCTTCTCCTCCTCCCCCCCCCTCAATTTGTACTACTAACTTTCTTTACACAGTGTTATATTTTTGGTAGGGTATTTCATATGTAAATTGATTGAATTCTCTTTATACTCTCTGTTTCGTAGAGAAATGTGGAAGCACACAGACTGTGTTGAAGGAGAACTAGAATTCTTTTTGCTGCTAGTCTTTCATCTTGGTTTACTTTTGCCTTTTTGGTATTATATATACTAACTAGGATGAACTTTGAAATACTAGTTGTTTGTATCTTTTTGTGCAAATAAAGATTTCTTACTGTGGGGTAGCACTTTGATTCCTATTTATACTTACTAGAAAAGCTCTAAACACAGAAAGTCAGCTCTAATAAAGATTGTCAATAAACAGTGAACAGTGTGTTTACTTAATTGCTTCATTTGTAGTAGTTTTATACTCCTGCTGTTCTGGGTTTGTGTTCAGGAGCACCTGCTTATTATTCCTCATTATGCCTTTTGCAGGAAAACAGCATCAGAAGGATGTTTTCAAAGCAGTGCTGTGCTGAATTACAGAACAAATGAACTGCAACTGCTGAGAAAGGGGGGAGTTTCAGCTCAGTCAAAGCCTGCTGAAGTGTACGGAAAGGCTCCTGTTCGTTGCAACGGAGTTTCTTGGACGGGTGCGCGTGGGTAAGGCTAGCGGGGTTGACTCACTGCCTTTGTGGGGAGGCTTTTGGTTGCCTGCACTGGCTGCTCTCTCAGCTTCAGCAGGCGTGGTGTTGGATTGCTGTTGGGTTGGGAGATTTCTTTAAAAATGGCAGCGCAGTGCCTCACCATGGAGAGAGCCGGGTGTCTCGCCTGATGGTAGTAGCCTTGTGCGCTAGTGGTAGGATGTCTCGAAGGCAAATTTGAATCTCAGGGTGTCGCTTGCAAGGGGCTTCCACAAGGGCTGGGAAAGTTGTAATGCCAGCGCGTGAGGCATGGCTTCAGCTGGAAAACTAGGAATGGTTCTGGTTGCCTGTATGCTTGGGAGAGGGACTGGAGAGGGAGCAAGCACAGGAGAAGTGCAAGCGGGAAAAGTCGGGGGATTTACCCAATGAGTGGAGCAGAGGGTCAGAGAGTGAGGGTGGAGATAAAGGGTCTGTAAGCACACTCGGAACAAAGTGTTTTGGAGGGAGAGGCTGCTCAAGTTCACAGGTAGTTGAAAGACCCTGAGAAAAGAGGGTACAAATGGTTAACGGTTGGACTCGATCTTAAGGGTCTTTTTCAACCTTGACGATTCTATGATTCTATGAAATGGGGCCTTGATAGCAGCTGAGCTGGAAGGGGGAGGCTCTGGCTCGTGCTGGAGGTGAGGTTGGGGACCGGTAGCAGGGAGATGGAGCAGCTGAGCCCAGGTCCCCCACTGGTCTGTGATGGGACAGACAGGTGGGCTGCCTGTGCGGGTCGGGAAGGGGAGCAAGTAGTGGGATGGCAAGAGGGACTTGCTTCTGAGTTACTTAAAAGCAACTGCTTTCTTCTGGGGGGCTACCTGAATCATGTGATGCCGTGGGTGGTGTTGAAGCGATCCTGGTTCACAGGCTCTTTACAAAGCTCCTGGTTTATTTCAGGCTGAGTGAGGTTCCTGTTTACCACTAAACAGGGGACTTTTTTCTTTAAAACAAACCAAAAATACTTGTTTTTTGTGTAATGGCTGCTTTTTTTCCATCTTTATTAAGTACTTGCTACAATCACAAAATGGCTTCAGTTTCCTAATGTTTTGCTTGTGGTACTTACTGTCCAGTTAATCAAGTACCATCAAATCTACTTGCATTTCTGCTAATTTATACATTAGTCTTCATGCCATGAATATAGAGTTTCTCTGGAATGATAAGCTGTGTGATCAGCAAAGTCACTGCACTCCTAATCAGAAAGCATGGGTAACTCACCAATTTTTGTTCGTATTTTGGTGAAAACTTTCCTTCTGGGACTGGTGTAAGCGTTTTTAGCCTGATCTTAGTGAAGTTTGTGCAGGAAGCACCTTCTGTATTTTTGCCAGCGTAAAAAGTTACATGTTGGAAGAGCAGAGCCAATAAATCTTGCAACTTCTCTGAAGCGTGGCTTCTCCCAGCATTGCAATTAGTGTCTGTTGCTACCTGCTGGAGTCAGCCAGGATGATTTACGTGCAACTAGCAGCCTTGTGTCATGCCGAGAGTTGAAATTCGGTTGCTGTCTTGGAGACCCTCGTCTAATCCAAGGCAAAAATAACATGTAAAGAAAGAAAACAGGACGTGACCTGATTGATGACCGGAGTCAGTTGTGTAATAACCTTTTCCAAGTGCAGGTGTTTAATACAGAGATACCAGCATCTCTGCTGGCCATCGGGAGGGTTTCTGGCATGATCCATACCTGGGACTGGGTGTGGGCTTAAGGAGCGGTCTGACCAGAGTCTTCTGCTACAGCACACAGCTTCAAGCCCTTGCAACTGCTCTGCTTGAAAGATGGTGCTGGTACAAACTGGTTTCTCCCAGCATCTGCTTTGGGGCCAAAGGAGCTGCCTGGGGCACTTCTGATTTGTGCTGGCTAACGTGAGCGTGTGGGAGCACCCATGAGCATGCACACTTCTCTGGAGGCACAGTGGGCTACGATGGTTGACCTTCATACCTTGCACGGATTAGAGGTGAGGGAAGAGGGAGGTTTTTGTTTTGCAGGGAGTTTTTGTTACTTTCAGCCTTATACAGAGAAGAAAAAGCTGCAATTTTCCTCCGGGTAAAAGAATTTCCCCACCCCTGTTTCACGCTGAATCCGTGCTATGATGTGTTTGTGTATGGTGTGTGGGACAGGAGCTTGCTTACTGCAAATGTCACTGTTGTTTTACAAGGGATCTCTGCTCTACGTGGACGTAGACAAATTGCTGAGGGGAGTCTATTAGGCATTGGGGGAACACCTTGCTTTCACCTAAACCTTAACTGTGTTTCTTCTCCTCCTGTCAGCCCTACTTTGAGGCCCCTGGAGGTCACCTGGTCCAAGTACCTGCTCAAGCAGGGCCATCTCCAAAGTTGGATCAAATTGTTACTACTCATTTCTCTGAGCGGTGGCAAGGGTAGTGCCAGGGAACTGGCTCTGTGGGGACGGAATATGGGAATACTCTATAGTATAGCATAGCTTTAAAAGGAGCCTGCTGCTTGAAGTGTGAGCTGGGTTTGGGCTTCTGTGCATCTTCCTTGCAAACGGGACTGGGCAGAATAGGGCTGACAGGGTGGCAGGATGGCAGGGATGC